CCCCCCCCTTCAAATAACAAAAAAATAAAAATAAAAAGTTTGAATTGCAAGGTCATACATACAAACTAGTGGACTGATCATGTGTAGAGTAGAAAGTTTCTGAAAAATTGGTGGAGATTAGGTAATAAGCAGTGGTGCATCGTACCAACAGACACCCTGATTCTACAGAGTAACATCCCAATCCAAAAAAGACTTTGTTGTCAAAAGTATGAAAAAATCTATCTGATTTAACAAACCTGCATGTTGCCTTATATATATAATTATGATCTAAGCTGTTGTGAGGTTATAAAACCTTGCAAACAAACGCAACAAACCAGATCATGAACACCTTTCTTCATAATTTGACTTAGAAAACATATTTTTAAAATTCAAATTGTGATAGTCTGCAAAGTATTTCAGTGGACAGACTCTCTCGTCATAGCGACGACTACAGAGAGGAATGCTAGTAGTGACATCACGGCCGTTGAAGAGCACACGCAGGAAGTAGTGTTTCTTCTGTTGTTGCGATTTTGACAGAAGTTCGAAGACGAGTCGAGACCCAGAGCGTGGAAACTTTTCCAATTTGTTCTCCATGGCTGTCAGCAAGTGGAGCATGAACTCTTCGTTACTTGTGTAAACAAGCAACCTTGGAGATGTTGCAAGTTGAACATTTTTGATGGAATTTAATAAAGAATTAAGAAATGGAAAAACATAGAGGCGACTGTGTTCCAGGTTAGGAATGTGGGTCATCCATTTCTCTATATGTTTGTCTAAAACCTGAAATAGCCTTCCTATATGAGACCTGGATACATTCCAGCAACGATTACCCCGACATCCTGTCGAGGGTAGGGATTTATCACATATGAGAGGAGAAAGCTGATTGAGTGCATCTACAGAACTCATATTCCTTTTGCAGAATTTCTCCAAAAACTTACTAAATGACTTATTGGCAGGTATCTGCGAATCGGAGCCCTGCGTATGGTTCAAGACACTGTCCATGAGAAATGGTGCAGAGCGAGCTATGTTTGGACAATGGCATTCTGTCTGGGACATGTCACACAGTCGATTGGTTACTTTCTCAACATTGACTGTGTGGACGTGCTTTCGTGGTAAAAAGCCACTGAGAAAAGATAGAGTTGAATGGAATGAGCTGGCGTCCTGTCCACTTAAAACTTTTATCCATTTATTGGAATGATGTATTTCTGATCCATGTTCAAACAAATCTGAATATGTGTCTCGCAGATATCTTCCATGTTGACGTAACTTTGCCATTCCGAGGGGAGATAACTGTCCAGGGGGACACTTCCTGTTATGTAATATAGTGTGGTTGATAAATTCTGTGTGCGCCTTGTTTGCTCTGATGTAACCATTTACAGTGGCCGGAAAATCTTCAAATGGTTCAACTGTGGATGATTTAAAATTACAATCTGCCGGTGGAATTTTCGGATGGAGTTGTTTTGGAGTTGTCTCCCCTGATGACAAGATGACATGAACTTGTTCCAAAAAGTATTCCTCTTTTATATAGAAACCTGCAAATAAAAGGAACCAAGATAAGACATGTAAGGAAGCAATGAATTGACTAAATAACAACAAGTAATCTTGTCATGGACACGAGTTGTAAGTCGACATTTCCTTTATGGTGACAGGATCTCAGATACATACGTAAGATACTATACAGGCAGGTGTGACAGGATCTCAGATACATACGTAAGATACTATACAAGCAGGTGTGACAGGATCTCAGATACACACGTAAGATACTATACAGGCAGGTGTGACAGGATCTCAGATACATACGTAAGATACTATACAGGCAGGTGTGACAGGATCTCAGATACATACGTAAGATACTATACAGGCAGGTGTGACAGGATCTCAGATACATACGTAAGATACTATACAGGCAGGTGTGACAGGATCTCAGATACATACGTAAGATACTATACAGGCAGGTGTGACAGGATCTCAGATACATACGTAAGATACTATACAGGCAGGTGTGACAGGATCTCAGATACACACGTAAGATACTATACAGGCAGGTGTGACAGGATCTCAGATACATACGTAAGATACTATACAGGCAGGTGTGACAGGATCTCAGATACATACGTAAGATACTATACAGGCAGGTGTGACAGGATCTCAGATACATACGTAAGATACTATACAGGCAGGTGTGACAGGATCTCAGATACATACGTAAGATACTATACAGGCAGGTGTGACAGGATCTCAGATACATACGTAAGATACTATACAGGCAGGTGTGACAGGATCTCAGATACATACGTAAGATACTATACAGGCAGGTGTGACAGGATCTCAGATACATACGTAAGATACTATACAGGCAGGTGTGACAGGATCTCAGATACATACGTAAGATACTATACAGGCAGGTGTGACAGGATCTCAGATACATACGTAAGATACTATACAGGCAGGTGTGACAGGATCTCAGATACATACGTAAGATACTATACAGGCAGGTGTGACAGGATCTCAGATACACACGTAAGATACTATACAGGCAGGTGTGACAGGATCTCAGATACATACGTAAGATACTATACAGGCAGGTGTGACAGGATCTCAGATACATACGTAAGATACTATACAGGCAGGTGTGACAGGATCTCAGATACATACGTAAGATACTATACAGGCAGGTGTGACAGGATCTCAGATACATACGTAAGATACTATACAGGCAGGTGTGACAGGATCTCAGATACATACGTAAGATACTATACAGGCAGGTGTGACAGGATCTCAGATACATACGTAAGATACTATACAGGCAGGTGTGACAGGATCTCAGATACATACGTAAGATACTATACAGGCAGGTGTGACAGGATCTCAGATACATACGTAAGATACTATACAGGCAGGTGTGACAGGATCTCAGATACATACGTAAGATACTATACAGGCAGGTGTGACAGGATCTCAGATACATACGTAAGATACTATACAGGCAGGTGTGACAGGATCTCAGATACACACGTAAGATACTATACAGGCAGGTGTGACAGGATCTCAGATACATACGTAAGATACTATACAGGCAGGTGTGACAGGATCTCAGATACATACGTAAGATACTATACAGGCAGGTGTGACAGGATCTCAGATACATACGTAAGATACTATACAGGCAGGTGTGACAGGATCTCAGATACATACGTAAGATACTATACAGGCAGGTGTGACAGGATCTCAGATACATACGTAAGATACTATACAGGCAGGTGTGACAGGATCTCAGATACATACGTAAGATACTATACAGGCAGGTGTGACAGGATCTCAGATACATACGTAAGATACTATACAGGCAGGTGTGACAGGATCTCAGATACATACGTAAGATACTATACAGGCAGGTGTGACAGGATCTCAGATACATACGTAAGATACTATACAGGCAGGTGTGACAGGATCTCAGATACATACGTAAGATACTATACAGGCAGGTGTGACAGGATCTCAGATACATACGTAAGATACTATACAGGCAGGTGTGACAGGATCTCAGATACATACGTAAGATACTATACAGGCAGGTGTGACAGGATCTCAGATACATACGTAAGATACTATACAGGCAGGTGTGACAGGATCTCAGATACATACGTAAGATACTATACAGGCAGGTGTGACAGGATCTCAGATACACAATTTTGGGAAGGGGGCCCATGGCTTTAGAGTTTGGAGGAAATATTTCACGGTAAAACAAATTGGGGAATTTGTTTAAGAACAAATTGGGGAATTTGTTTAAGAATTATATGAAATACTGATTTTGATTAGCAAAGTATCATATAAAAGACTAAAACATCCAGTGACTCTGTTGCACTTTCATCTGAGAATTACAAAACAAATCTGTACTGAAGAAGATTGAATTCTTTAGCCATTATTGAATTTTAATGGATATTGGTATCTTCAAATTGTCAATTAGGCTTTTGAAGAGTTACATTTCATAAATCTTCCTGAAGGGACATAATGACATTTTTTTCTGAGTTGCTGTACTGTTGATTAACTGATAAACTCACAACATTCCCTCATTAAGTTCTGTGACCCAGCAGATCACCAAGGGGCGTTGTGATAAATAATAAATTACGGCTACTAAAAATGTCAAAGACTATTTTACTGTTTAGATGAAAAGATATGATGAATACAACTTATCTTTCAGCATTGATAGAAAATATCAATTATTTAGTTTAGGGGAAAATATTTGTTAGACAGACATGATGAAGGCACTTGACAGTACAGTTTTAGTACTGCAGATTGTTATAATCATTGACTGACCAAGTTCAGTCCTTGGACCAGAAAAATATGTACAGATATACAAAACAATCAAACTCAATAAGGATGAAAAAAAAAATCCTTTTTACTTTTATATTGTAATTGCTACATATATATACAAATATTTAAAATAAAATTGAAGTCAAGATTAAAAAAACATTTCAAGGATCAAATCACACTCGGTGAATTGGATGAAATGAATGGATATGTGTGCATATTTCTTGAATAGTTTCAATTTCTCATCCTCAAAATCCAACATAAATCGCTCTTGATATGTGATCCTTCTCTGCACCCCTTCAAATCAAAGGCTCACAGCTGTAAGCTGTTTGAAACATTTTATGTAGTAAAACCTGACCCATCACAAGCCTGCAGGTACCTGTCTTTTGAAGATTAAAGAGAAGCTACATTCAACTTTGAATCCTGTCAATTGAAACGTTCCTGCTGAGTAATTCCTTTAATCTCTATTAAAGACATCAGACTAGTCTACGGTCATTTTGTATTATCTCCAAGGGGTCTTATCAAGAAATTTGGATTCCTGGGTTGCAGAGAAGATATATAAAATTACGTATGTTTATCAAGTGAGGTACCCTTGGATTTCAAGAATGAGATTTTCTGGCAAAGAAATATATAGACTGTAGCATTTAACTGGGACAACTGTATCCTGGGAAACTTTCGCTGCAGTTTCATTTTCGCCCTCCAAATTGCGGGTGAATTTGTCATTTCAGTAAACAACAATATATACTTTCAGTTGCACATGCAAATCAAGATGGCTGATTCTAGAATCACTCTGTATCAAGTTTAGAAAAAATCCATCAGAATTAATGATCATCAAAAATGGATATCAATACTAATGTGTATTAGCAGGTGGGACAATCTCATGACTACTACTCAACGTGTGTATAACACAATAGGCCACGCCATACAGAAGGTCAGTGTATGACAGATGTAGAGTAGGTGAGTATAACTCATCACTTCCTGTCCATTGATAAGTACAGGGTGTACTAGAAGGTGAGATTAACCCATCACTACAACTTGTCTTGTGCAAAACACAAACAGTCATTCAGTACAAACATTATATACTGTACATCAACCTCGCCACCAGCAGAATGATCTGATTGTTTCTAAACATTTTCTTCAGGTTGGTAAGTATGGATTATGAGAAGTTCTCTTTACACAACCAAAAATAAAATTTTCTATTTGACGTTTCGATGACTAGTACGATATGTACACTGTCACCATCATCAGATGAATGACCAATGAAGCGTTATATATGCACACAAAGTTGTAAAATGTGTACGAGTTGTCTATAAAATCGATGTCGATTTCGGCTATGCTGGAAACGTATGTACAATAGTTGTTATAACGACAGTCATTCTAATATCTACCACTACAGTACAGGAAATGCTAAGTTTAAACATTAACTAGTATTAGGTGGGATACCTCATCACTACCTCCAGAGTACACAACACTATAACGACAGTCATTCTAATATCTAACGCTATAATACATGAACTGCTAAGTTTATACATTAACTAGTAGTAGGTGGGATACCTCATCACTACCTCCAGAGTACACAACACTATAACGACAGTCATTCTAATATCTACCTCTATAGTACAGGAACTGCTAAGTTTATACATTAAATAGTAGTAGGTGAGATACCTCATCACTACCTCCAGAGTACACAACGCTATAACGACAGTCATTCTAATATCTACCACTATAGTACAGGAACTGCTAAGTTTATACATTAACTAGTAGTAGGTGAGATACCTCATCACTACCTCCAGAGTACACAACGCTATAACGACAGTCATTCTAATATCTACCACTATAGTACAGGAACTGCTAAGTTTATACATTAACTAGTAGTAGGTGAGATACCTCATCACTACCTCCAGAGTACACAACGCTATAACGACAGTCATTCTAATATCTACCACTATAGTACAGGAACTGCTAAGTTTATACATTAACTAGTAGTAGGTGAGATACCTCATCACTACCTCCAGAGTACACAACGCTATAACGACAGTCATTCTAATATCTACCACTATAGTACAGGAACTGCTAAGTTTATACATTAACTAGTAGTAGGTGAGATACCTCATCACTACCTCCAGAGTACACAACGCTATAACGACAGTCATTCTAATATCTACCACTATAGTACAGGAACTGCTAAGTTTATACATTAACTAGTAGTAGGTGAGATACC